ACACATAAAAACTGATGATGGTGGAAAAATACACCGAAACGTATTTTGATTGATAAATAGAGACAATAAATGACTGAAACCCAGGAATGAATTTGATTATTTTTACCGTAGCAAGTATTCATTGGCCACACTAGATCTGTAATTCACACATAATAAGGATCTCTTGCCCATAATTAATTTTTCGCAACGTAAACTTTCCGATAATTTTCTTGGCACGATTTCCAACCCTTCGAATTAAGACAAACTGGAAAAAAACCAAGTTTACTGACTAATTTGCTCAGTTAGAGAGTGAGGTTTTCAATGTGTTCGGAACTGCACAACATACAGAACCGATTAGAAAAAAAAACACACGAGTAAATAAAAATATAATATATTAACAAACATGTACAAGTATATTTTACCTCCAATCTAAATAGTACTAATCCACAGCAGAAAGATTCACAATATGTTTTCATTCTAAGAGGTAAGTAAATATAAATATATACTTATATAAATTGCACTGTTACGTGAAATCGATGGGTGTCAAGGTGTAGAATACGTCTAATCTTTTGAACTGGAACCAAAAAGGCATGATCACAAGTAATCGAAAAATATCATAGAGGCACCCTGTTCAGTCACGACTGTTCCCTATAAACTCAAATCGCAGTATTATCTGATTTTATTTTATTCTTGAGCCTGAACTTTTCCTCCAGGTCACCGGGAACCTTAAAAATAACAAAAATAAGTCAAACTTTAGGGTTTCTAGTTCATTACAGCTGCTTTGTACCGAAATGAACACAAAAATGGCATTTGTCTACCTAATCATCACCTGTGCAACCTACATCATTATCTTTCGCTCATATTTTTACAGAAGTGAACTAAGGGAACAGAATTTAGTCAAAAAAGTCACATAAACCACTTTATATAAATGAAACTTTCCACCGATAAGATTAAATAAAGTATGGCTTTCGTCGGTAACAGAATTATGCGATACAAGCAGGAAACATATATTTACAATATAAAATGGGAAAACGCGAATTCTCAAGCCTTTATAAAAAGCATCACAGAACAACACCACAATTTTCATAAGAAGGGTTTAAAGGTCAAAAAATGAAGATTCCAATGGTAGCAACTTTAATGAATGCTGACTATTTTCAAAATAGCTTCGCCTTAAACACATCCTGAAATTGTATAAGCTTTGATTTTCAATTAGTGATGAAACCCGCCAACCCCCAAGTGAACTAATTTTCTTTAAATACTTGATGAAACACTACTAATCACTAATTAAAACACTCGCCTTATAAGAGATAAATCTACATAATAGGTCCTCAAAAATAAGTCTTTATACACCACCATTTTATAATACAAAACTTCAAGATATTACATTTAGAATATAAATAGTTAAGCATGCAAAATACATGTGTTCATTAAATAGAGAACATTGAGAGCAGTGGTTAAGGATTGGTTTTGAAACACTCAGATTCACATTTGTCATGATCAGTCTCTTCTATTCTGTGCTGCTGGTTAAAAGCTCATTAATGTTATTTATCGACAGCCTATTTAACATGGCACTGGTTTTTCACCTAATATAAGCATTTATTAGTAACACAGTACAGTATATGGCCTTGTGAGTTAACGTAAAACGTAAAAAATGTACAGAATTAGCTGCACTAAGTAGAGGAAACAGACCAAATGCTGCTAAACTTCAACTGAATCTGAATCAAAGTGTGTAATTTTGATACAAATTTGATAAGTAAGTTAATTTCAGATAGTCGATTTCAAGATTATTCTTTGGTAGTAATTTCGGCAGATGAACATTGGCCTGGTTCCTGAAACAGGGTTTATAGCTTTACTCACACCATGTCTATACAAAGGCGGCGACGACAAAGCAAAAGAAATTTCTTTGAAAAAAGCAACTACTAAGCAGGTGAATTTTAAGAAAAGTATTAACATCACACCCCCATGTTTATGCTCTAACTAACTATTCCCTTAATTAATACAGGCTGTTAGTAAATAATTGCGACCAATTTCCGGGAGTGATTCTGCATGGAAAAATAATCCCAATTTGCTTAAAGGTATGTCCGCAAATGATTCGTTTTTCCAGAAACGCGATGGTAAAGTGTCGAAGTTTTTCTTAAAAACGGACGGTATTAAAAGTATGATGCGACTTTTGGAAGAATTTCCAGAAGAATCACTTATGTGTTGGGGGGGTACTAGATGGTTCTTGAAAATGTACTGAAGTAATTAAATATACGCGAACGAGGACTACAAAAATGATTTTTAATTTGAAATATCTCAGTGGCGTGCCATTTTTTCTCCTTAAAGAAAAACTTTCACAGCCCGTATCTAGGCAAACGAATTATTTGCGGACATACGAATCATAAGCAAACTGTGATTATTTTCCCATGCAGGCTCACCGCCAGAAATGTGTCGCACTTATTCACAAACACCCGGTAGGAGATGGGAACGCAAACCAACATTCACACAGGCCATATAAACTCGTCAGTTTTCTGTGCGCTCACCTTAGGTTTGCTACGATGAGTATCGACAGCACCAATTGGTAATGTAATATGTTCTACGCGACATCCGTAAGCCACGGGAGTCAATTTCATTATCGTGTGAAGCGGCACCTTCAAATAGGGCAACTCATCTGGGAAAAAACAAGAGGCTTTAGCACGTGTTTCCCAAATTAGAACCGCTGTAAACTACCTGCTGATTTGTCCAAGAAATAGGCCAAGAGGCATCGCAAGACTGCTTGATGAGACACAACCAAGACGTTGCCTTGTCGCTCCAGCTCCATGATCACTGGCTCAAGCCTGGCAACTAAATCCTCGTAGCTTTCGCCTCTTGGATACCGGTAGGCAAACTTGTTTTGGTCGCGCGAGGCAAACTCCTCTGGAAATCGCTCCTTGATTTCTTCATAGGTCATTTCTTCACAGACGCCAGCGTCAATTTCATTCAAGGCTTTCCATCTTTCTTGGGGCACATCCAAGCCCGACACAGTTTGAATGGTTCTTTTGAGCCAGGAAGTCCAAATCCGCAGTCCTTCGATTTGTTGCTCATGAATATAATCGGATAGAGCGTTGGCGTATTGTCGCCCTCTGCCACTCAGGTTGGAGTCGCCCCCAATGCGCCCAATGAGATTGTGGTCGCTCTCCCCATGCTGCAAGAAATTTATTAGCGCTAAGGCCTGTGAAACTTTGCAAAAAACCTACTCTGGTCAAATAGATTGTTCTGGGAGTGATGTGGATGTTCATCAGATAGTAGACTATTCTGGCCTGTACGTGGCCCTCATGCTTGTGCACCACAACTTTTTCCCCAGTATTGTAAATCTTCATAAACGACACGTCACTTTCCTTCTCCTCGTCTAAGGGAGAGTATTTCTCCTGGTAGTGCTGGATCCTTTTGATGAAATCATCAAGAACAGCCTCCTTGTTCATGTTGGCGTAGTCGGGGCTGCTAATTTTCACCTCCATGATGTTCTAAAACCCACTAATGCAGTCCATAAACGCCGCAAACTAGCCCACTAACGTACTTGTTCAATGATTTGAGGATCATCGCATATCGACTCCACATAAAACAGCTTGAACCCCATCTTGTTCACCACATAATCCTGAATAACTCTTCGGCGCTCTGGCGTTGAATTGGTCGCATCGAACACTGCCACTTCTCCGCCATTCTCCAACCATTGGCAAACGTCTTTGAGGGCCTCGATGGCGCATTGAGCGCGTATTGCCATCGCCTCGGCATTATCCGGTCGGAAGAAGTCATGGCTTTGGTAGGCTGAGGTTGCATGTCTCCGATATTCGCCCAAATTGAACACTAGAACATATTTGATAGAGTCCGGTTTTTTAAGGGTTTTTTTGCCAATTTTACCTCTGGTATTGATGCCAATCCAGTTCAAGTAGCGTGAAAGTTTCTTGGAAATGTACGTTTTGCCTCTGGCCGGCAGGCCCACCATAGCGATAACGTGCGGACTGTTGACATAATTCGCTCGTTCCCCTGCGAAAAATTTGCTGTTTTAATACATGAGAATGCATAAAGGCAAATCTGCAGAATTCAAGTGAGATTATTAGACATTAAGACTCATCCAGATGGTTAAATCGCACTAAAATTTGACTGACAGGAATTAATTTTCAGTCAAACGCGCCCTTTTTTGTCGACAAGCCCCACAAATCTTACAATATACTGTTGTTACTTCACGAGATGCAACTATAAACATACCAATTCGTATGGAAACCGCTCTGCGAAATTCGGGCTTCCTGCCTATGTTACTGCTACTCATAATCGCCTCGTCACCACAATCAAACTGCAACGATTCACACAATAGCGACAATTCGTAATACGTGACTAAAACCGACACCTACTTTCACTCCAACAAGTTCCAAAGGAAAAAAGGCTGATCTTTGTCCGGATCACTTTCGTTAGCCAGCTCGTGCAATGATAATCTTATCATTGAACAGTATCAACAGTGTAGTCACAGTTGAAATCCAAATGGAACGGTTTGAAGCGGTATGGGGATAATTCCCGATATTTCAACTGCTGGGGCCGGACACTTTAAAAAGTATTTTTTGATTTTATGAGCAAATTTTCACTGTCCGTCCAGCTGAACCGAAAATCCAATGACAACTTTCACGAAGGCAAGAAAGAGCCCACTGCGCCATCTATCACCTTTAGCGCTAGCAGGTAGTAGATGGCGCAGCGCTCTTACTCAAAACTCATGAGCTGAACGAGCGAGTGAGTCGGTGAGTTTTCCACAACAATGTTTCGGTTACCTTGGAAAGCTCCAGCAGCTCTTTAAGGGCACATGAATGTGCTCTGCAGGTTTTCGTCGGGCTTTTTTACTATAAACTGGTCCATCGCGGGTTGACAGCGAACGTCACGCAGTTGGAAATTTTCAGGCTTTTACCGCCACATTTGCACCACTAGCTTAAAAAAATCGCCAAAAACCGCTTTTGGGATAATCCGCAACTTTTCGCACAAAACCCGAAAAATCCGGCGATTTTTCCGAATGTTTACGCAACAAATCGACCACCGTTCGATCAGCCACCATTAAACAAAACACTAACTGAGCCAAATGACACCAAAATTGACGTGCTAGTGACAGTTAATTACTTCGTAACCATGATAACCATACGCGCGGGTATTTCAAATTTTGCTGAAGAATCCAAAAAAAACGCAATTTTCGCGCTTTTGTCGATCCTTGTGAGGATAAAAATTTGAATCCCCCTTGTATATCGCACAGGCAAAACTAATAAAATGGGATTTGCAAAAATTGCTCGCGAGGGTCAACTATTTTTAAATCAGCGCCAGCCAATAGGTGAATCTACACTTAAATAAATTGCTGCAATTTCCTTGTTCGGTGATTGTCGAATCCGTGTTTCTCCGCCGATCATCAACTGCGTAATCTTGCGACTGTTTTTTCCAGGGCCTTCGCCATTTCGGCAGGTCTCGCATCGAAATCCCTTTAAAAAAACACTTAAAAACAGTTAAACTTCCATTCAATTCAACCAGCGCGTCAATGTTGATCAATAAAAAAAAAGTCCTTCAATTCGATGAAAAACTCTTTTCAAATGTCGTCGATGTTTTGAATTCAGTCCAAGTCGAAACGGAAACAGAAAACGGACAATCGCGTAAACACGATTTCGACCTTCAGTTACGTAAGGAAAAAAATGCCAAACACCGACGATTTTTTCAAAACGATCAAATCTGACTGGCCAGTTTCAGCGTTGTCGATCGATCCGAGACTAATCGCATCATCAAATTAGTGGTTTTTATGAGAAAATGATAGTTCAATCTTTAACCTTTGAATGCCTCCACAATCGGGTGCGCAATTTTACCATGTTAACACAACAATAGGAGACTTTGATCCGACAAAACTTTTAAATAACATTTATACATATCTAGAAAAAAAGGAATAATACGGTTGAAATAAGCTGGAACAAGTCAATAAACAAACACATAGAAAGCGCATCACGCTGCACGCAAGTGAGAACAATTTATTGAATTTATGGAACTGATACATTCAGTTCGTTCGTGATCTCGCAAAAAAGCGCGATATTTTCTTATAGAAACAGTCACCTTTCATGCGTAAGATCGGAATTATGTTATGAGAGTTGATGAGTTTATGCGATAATCTATAGATAGATATATTGTTTTAATTAAGTAACCGTTTTATGCTAGCACGAATTGCTCGATTGGTACCAAATTGACGCGACAAGTAAACTAGGGCTTCCTTTATCGAGTGCTGGCGCCCCCGTTCGGTTATCTAAAATGATTCTTCAGAAACGAGCTTTAGATGAGAGTGATGTTAAAACGACAAAAACCCAACTTTTTTTTCAAAGTTCAAAAATTCATTCTGAAGGAACCCATTGCATGATTCGAACCAAATCGCCACAGTCAGTAAAATAAAGCTTCCTTTATCGAGTGCTGAAGCTCTCGTTTCGATGTCTAGAATGATTCTTCAGAAACGCTATTTTGATGAACATGATGCAAGAATGGCACACCGACTAATTTTTTTTCAAAGTTCAAAAATGTATTCTGAAGGRACCAATTGCWCGATTCGAACCAAATCCCCACAGCCACTAAAATAAAGCTTCCTTTATCGAGCGCTGAAGCTCTCGTTCCGATGTCGAGAATGATTCTTCAGAAACGAGCTTTAGATGAGAGTGATGTTAAAACGACAAAAACCCAACTTTTTTTTCAAAGTTCAAAAATTCATTCTGAAGGAACCCATTGCATGATTCGAACCAAATCGCCACAGTCAGTAAAATAAAGCTTCCTTTATCGAGTGCTGAAGCTCTCGTTTCGATGTCTAGAATGATTCTTCAGAAACGCTATTTTGATGAACATGATGCAAGAATGGCACACCGACTAATTTTTTTTCAAAGTTCAAAAATGTATTCTGAAGGGACCAATTGCACGATTCGAACCAAATCGCCACAGTCACTAAAATAAAGCTTAATTTATCGAGTGCTGAAGCTCTCGTTCCGATGTCGAGAATGATTCTTCAGAAACGCTCTTTAGATGAGCATGGTGCAAAAATGACAAACCGCCTAAATTTTTTTCAAAGTTCAAAAATTCATTCTGAAGGAACCAATTGCTCGATTCGAACCAAATTGCAACAGCCAGTACGATAAAGCTTCCTTTATCGAGTGCTGAAGCTCTCGTTCCGATGTCGAGAATGATTCTTCAGAAACGCTCTGTAGATGAGCATGGTGCAAAAATGACAAACCGCCTAAATTTTTTCCAAAGTTCAAAAATCCATTCTGAAGAAACCAATTGCACGATTCGAACCAAATCGCCACAGTCACTAAAATAAAGCTTAATTTATCGAGTGCTGAAGCTCTCGATGCGATGTCTAGAATGTTTCTTCAGAAATGCCATTTTGAAGAGCATGATGCAAAAATGACAAACCGCCTAAATTTTTTCCAAAGTTCAAAAATTCATTCTGAAGGAACCAATTGCTCGATTCAAACCAAATTACCACAGCCAGTAAAACAAAGCTTCCTTTATCGAGTGCTGAAGCTCTCGTTCCGATGTCGAGAATGATTCTTCAAAAACGCTATTTTGATGAACATGATGCAAAAATGACAAACCGCCGAAATTTTTTTCAAAGTTCAAAAATTCATTCTGAAGGAACCAATTGCTCGATTCAAACCAAATTACTACAGCCAGTAAAACAAAGCTTCCTTTATCGAGTGCTGAAGCTCTCGCTCCTATGTCTAGAATGATTCTTCAGAAACGCTCTTTAGATGAGCATGATGCAAAAATGACAAACCGCCAAAATTTTTGTCAAATTTCAAAAATTCATTCAGACGGAACCAATAGCTCGATTCGAACGAAATCACCACAGCCAGTAAAATAAAGCTTCCTTCATCGAGTGCTGAAGCTCTCGTTCCGATGTCGAGAATGATTCTTCAGAAACGCTCTTTAGATGAGCATGATGCCAAAATGACAAACCGCACAAAATGTTCTTACTTTAAAAATTCATTATGAACGAACGAACAACTTGATTACAATCAAATTAATACGACAAGTACACTAAAGCTGTCTTTATCGAATGCTGAAACCCCAGTTCCGATATCTGAAATAGTTCATAAATGACCACAAAAACTTCGGGAGTTTTGAGCAGAGGAATCTATAAAAATCCAAAACTTTGACACCCTGTATCTCATAAACAGAGCATTTCCCAATAAAACCTTAAATAGCAAATTTGACTTAGAAGATGAAGGTTTATCGATTACCAGAGTCTTGTGACTCAGTCTTCGGCTTTATTTAATATATGAGCCATATTTAGGAAAAAATGTGACAAGATTAAATATTTCAGTTGAATCTTCCATTGGATATCGGGTGGCTTGACAAGGGAATGCAAACCAAGAGATAAAAGTTAAGCAACAGATAACTCTTGACGCAAATAATCGTACTAAAAATACATACATACATACATTAAATTGGTTCTTATCGAACGCAGACGGATTAATTAGGGAGCGAATGGCAATTTCCTGTGGGAAACCTTAACAATAACGCAAACATGCATCAGTAGCGCTTCTGGACACCCCTAATTAATTAGCCCTAAAAGCACTCACTCGGTGACCCTTGGGGAAAAAACGTTTCGAGAAAATTGTGAGATTTGGCGCTTAGCGTAAACGAGCAGCAAAAAACCATAAACCTGAAATAGCTTAATCCGACGTCAATGAAAACGTACGCAAACACGTAATGCGCGTTATTTGGCCTGCATAAATACAGCAGTTGATCTGGGAAGACACCTTCGTCCACCTGAAACTCACCGATTCTGATGGACATAAGTCTGGCCGTTCGGTAGGACCGGCCATCAGTCGTGACCGAAATCCCCAGGGAACCATTACTAGTTGCACCGTTACTTCGCATTTTCCCGTAAATAATTACACTTTTTTCACAAAATCTGTCTGGATGGCGATCGAGATCCACTTGAACTGTTGGGGAAAAAATTGCGATTGAATAATAACTGGCGAGATGAGGATGAAGCTTAGACGAAAGCTAAACGTAACCCGGAGATGCTGTTCACTTTGATATCATGTGATGTGGGCGTGTCGACCAACATTTTAGCATCGGCTGGTTATTTACAGCACCGGTGTTGCTGCAAGTTAACCCTGATTCACATTATCGCACACCCAACGACCTGCAGATACAACAACGACACAACTTGTGTGTCTTTTCTCTCTCATTTTCGCCAAGAATGCCGAATGTGAACATCAACAATTTACTTATCTAATACGAATGTTTGTCGTGTTTTTGCCGGTCGTTGGGTGTCTGATAATGTGAATCAGGGTTAAAGCGACTTCACTGTGGAGGAGGAAATATTGCGGGCGATTATGAAAGACCTGCTGATAAATATGGGGGGCACCTGATGAAAACCTCGGCCCTCCAAAGCTTCAAGCAATTGACTTCATTCCGCACACTTCTTTGGACATCTTCGCCTAATCATCCCAGGGAAGAATTCCCAGTTCTATGCTAAACCAGAGAGGACTATTTTCGCAAAAAATAATCCCCGATGATTTTCTGCGTCGTTCATCAAACATTCTTGCAGACACCATTTGCGTTGCAGAATTTCAGCATTTTTATGCTTCACCACGCAGATTGTCGTTCAGTTGTTAAGCGAAACAGTTATACATTCACGGAATATTCACGTGTTTTTAATTGCACTTAGGACAAGACGCGCTTTATATTGCATTAGATGCGCGAGTGAAGCTCACAATGTTGTTTTTTTCTTCGTATCAGTGTCTATAAAAGCGTGTTTCTGACGAATCGTTTTAGATATCACGACGGGGGCTTAAGCATTCGAAGAAGGAAGCTTTATTTTACTTGTCGTGTGAATTTTGTCTCGATCGACAGACTCCTTGTTTCACAATGAGCATTTGAACTTCGCACACATTTGGGCGATTGGCCCTTTTTACATCGCGCCCATCTAAGACCGGTTTCTGAAGAATCATACCCGACAAAGGAAACTTTAGTTTACTGATTCGGTCAATTTGGTTTAAATGGAGCAACTCGTTCCTTCAGAATGAATTTTTGCATACAATGAAAGACCTGAAGCTTATTAGCAAAGAAGAAAAACTCGGCATCTAAACCTAGAAGAAAGTTGGAGCGATAAAACCCTTTAAGCCACTTAAACCGCTTATCCATCCATCCATCCATCATAAAAGCGCAGTTTCCTTGAACTCAATGCGGTCAAGGTTGATTTTGCAATAGACAGTGGAAAGAAAGTGCATAACAATCTCCTTCTAAATCACTTTTCCCATTAAAAGCACAACCGTTGCAATTATGACTGTCCGCTAGTCGATTTGGAAATCAATCGTCCGAAGGTTTGCCTATCAATCGAATGCCCAGAATCAGGTTGGAGAAAGTGGAAAAATGCATCCTAAGCACAGTCCAGCACTTTTGCTTAAGAACCCATTAAAAACAGTTGATGGATCCAAGAAAGCAATGTTGCATAAAATGAATCATCCCATCCGGCACTTCAGGGGATTCCTTCACTGAAACTGCTGCTGGGAGGGGCGTGTGAAGACATGAAGATACTCACGTATCTTCAAGATACGTTTCCTACGTCGCGTATCTTGGAGATACCTAATGATGATTTACTGGGGCGGATTAGATGAACTAGACCCTAGAAATGTGCCCTAAATCCCCAAAATTGCAAGTGCGCAGCCATTTGGATTGGATTTCGGGGTTTAAAATGGGCAAAACGTCGTCCTTGTTAGCAAATAAAGCCAAAGGTTGCGGACGCTCAACAGTACGACGCCCAATTTTCATTAAAGGGCGAAATGCTGCGTGCCAAACTGCCAGCTTCTCCTGGGCTTTTCTTGGGCGAAAACAACGTAGAAGCGGCAAGTTTTTTGCTTAGGTAGGTCAAGCCCAATGTGCCAAGCAAAAACTACTTCAAATCCAAGGAGGGCTAAATAAATCAAAGCACGTGCCAAGTGTAAACACTGCACTTTGGATCAAAAGACAATTTCTGGAGATTGTCAACTCGACCAGGCCTTTCCCCCACGATTCCCCGACTGTTTACTAGATAATACTGCTTTCGAGTGCTGAGTTATTAAAGCCCTGTGTGGGAAGTTGGATGTTTACGTACCTCTAATGGGGAACGGTTTTGTTTGGACGGTTTCGGTGTTCGGTGGTAGCAGCCTTTTGGTCTCGGCCGACATCACACTAGGACAGGACTTCACTTCATCATTCCGACAGTTTTTCAGGTTGTTCACGCTGCGAGAGCCCTTGTAAGTACTATTTCGCACTCGCAAAGAGCCACTCAACACGTCCAGGCCACTACTCATTTCTTCAGCAGATTAAGGCACGACTGAAGAAGACACACGTTTCACAAGAATTGCCGGCTGGTTTCGACGAATGCGGACGCTCTAAACGGTATTGGCGAGCTCTAATTATTTTAAACGTCGCGACACACGATTTTTTTAGCCGTTTTTAACCAGTCAACACCAGCACAACTGCCTCTGACTAGTTATGTCATGAATAAATCAAGTTTGATGAGATTTGCGTTGTTATAGCTGATTATTTCAGCGCCATTGTCAAGTTGGGCGAGAATCGCATCAATCTGCGACAATCGCGGGAGATTTTCCGGCTGGTGGCAGTTTTTAACCGGCTGCTGCAGTTTTAGTTCAGGCCTTTTACAACCCAAACCAGTTCTCAGCGATTTTAGGCAGTTAACTAGTTGGCTGTTGCTGTTTCTGAGTAATTTTCCTTTTTATTAGCTGCACTGGCGTGCAATTGCGCAACCCAGCAATTTCAAACACCATTGACAACTGTCAAGATCGCATTGAAGGTTATTTATAACCATCTATATGGGGATTTTGCGTTGATTATACTGGCGTCACTGATTAAAGACACTGGTTTGACACAGTTGCAAACAGAACCTCACTAATTGAACCGCTGTTGAACAATTAGTAAACAAAATGAACAATATCGAATTGCCAGCGGAAAAAGAGCCGGAAATTACATCCGCCGACGAAATAAGCCTGCTGGTGGTCATTTTAGACACGAACCCCACGCAAAAAATGCTGCGAGATAAGCAGAATCAACTCACCAACATTGTGGACTCTGTGGTGGCCTTTTCCAACTCGCATTTGATGCAGAAGGCCCAAAACAAGCTGGCTGTTATGGCCTGCCATTCGAAAACCAGGTAAATTTAGTCTCCACATGACTAGGTAAACGTTCTAATTGTAATCCGCAGCCAGTTTATATACCCGGGAGCGAAAAAGCCCTTGGATGTCAGACAAGTAGACGGCCAATACGAGGCCTTCCTCTTGGTGGAAAAAACGGTGAAGCAGAACCTGGCTGAGCTGCTAGCATCGGAAAGCTCCACTGCCGTGACTGAGTCGCTTTTGGCTGGAGCCATAGCGATGGCTTTGTGCTACATCGCGCGACTCCAAAGAACCAAACCTCCAGGTTCAAAGGTACTTAGTTTGGCATTTCATTTTTATCCTGCTGACTCCTATGGAACTTTCAGCTAAACAGCCGAATACTGGTGGTGTCCGGAAGTGGAGATTCAGCCTCCCAATACATGAACTACATGAATGTGTTCTTCACGGCGCAGAAACTAAATGTGGTGCTAGACGTGTGTGCTTTGGATCAGCACCTGAGCCTGCTGCAACAGGGCTGCGACATCACAGGCGGGATGTACCTGAAAGTTCCCCAAATCACAGCTCTATTGCAGTTTTTGCTGGTACGTCTTGAAGCTCGGTTTAATCGGCTGGAAAATCACCGCAATTTTAGTGGGTATTTTTGCCAGAACCGCCCATTAGGGAGAAGCTAGTCCTTCCGCCGCCTGTTAAGGTGGATTACCGAGCTGCGTGCTTTTGCCATCGCGAACTGATCGATATTGGGTTTGTGTGCTCTGTTTGCCTCTCAAGTAAGTGAAAACTCCCGGAAAATCGCCCTGTAAACGCTTTAAATGTGTTTCAGTTTTCTGCAAGTTTAGTCCAATCTGCACCACTTGCCAGTAAGTACAGTTATGTGGTTTTCTGGGGGATTTTCAATAACTGCAACACTTTCAGCATGGTGTTCAAGATTCCTGGTCCACTTGCAGTGAAGCCAAAGAAGAGGAAATTGAAGCTGTAAATCGTGATATGGTCGAACAGACCCAGTACTGAGCATGTGATTGCAACAACTTCTGGTCTCTTGCAGTAAGAGGCGATAATTTGTAAATAGCTACATTTAAGGGAACTATTTGCTTGTCCATAGACGGGAAAGGAAAACGAGCCCACTTTAGATGCGTGAATTTAATAATAAAATCATTTTTTTACAGTCTTACGGATAGTCACTGTAATGGAAAAATAGATGGAAGATTATCAGCACAAATGTACAAGGCATTTATTTGTCCTATATGTTGAAGATTTTGGCAAAATTGTAACACAACCTAAAATCAGTTTTGATGAATCTACGCGTAATCTTCATTCAATCGTTGATTGTACAATTGAATTGCCTGATCCATTATTATTCAAAACAGCTCAAACTCACTACTTTTCTACTCATAAGACTCTTATCTTACAACCTTGTTCGCAACTCTGTACAGCACACTTACATAGAATAAAGCACCGTCGCTCCCGGGCCTTTCTGTTGGTCACAAACGCAATAAATAACTATATTTGACTCAATCAAATCGAGCAATTACAAAACTCCCGCGGCTCGAACGCTTAGAAACAGGAGGTTGGAGATAATATTCGTGTAATTATATTACAACACAGTCTACCTGCAAACTACACAAGGGCATTATGTGTGTCTTTTATCTGACTTTATCACTAGTGTGCAGCACTTTGGCTACAATGAGCCCCAGGGCTGTGACGGCCGCGAGACTTAGACCGGCTTTCCACCAAACTGTCGGGTCAGTTGTGATCACTCCAAACTCACGGAAGTTTCTAAAACAGAGCCAGTTTTAGAGCTCGGGACTCAGTCATTGATCATACACCAGAAACCATGCACAACATTAAAGCACGCAACATTGATTAGAAAACATCGAATGACGACTAATGGAAATAAGTAAATGAACTGAAGCAGACCCAGAAGTTGAGCCATTTAATTTTCTCAAGGTTTTCACCTTCCTTCACTATTCATTAGATGTTTTAAAGCATGATCAACAATAACACTGAACAACTCCATTGCATGCTCTGTTTCTCTTCCCTTAATGTTAATGAATAATAATTTTATTGACCATCTATGTATACAGACCGTCCGGAATAATTTTTGATCTAAACACCGGCGTGCAACCATTTCCAGACAGCCTGTATTTAAATAAATACGGATGCAACCGTTGTGAACAAAAAAAAACATTGATAAGCAAACGATGCAGGCAAAATAAGCGAATCACCGCAGGGTTACATCACATCTGTGAACTGATTGCCAATTGTGAAAGTGAACCGAAAATTCGGCTAGATTTTGGGAGGTTAATAACGTTATTAGTAACATGAATGAACTGTTAGATCGGCAATCCATAAAAAACATTAACTAGAAACCTGCAAATTTCGTACAACCACTCTGTAGGTTGCGGACGCAACAACAACATATGTACCATGCGTCGTAATGGACTGGAAAATAAAAAAGCGTTTCAAAATATAGTTGTTGATAGGCAATTAAATGGAAGGTTCGTATAGTTTGCTATTCAATAATGCGGTTGGTAAAAAAACGAGCATGTGAGCTCTGACTATTTCGGTTTAAAGTGATTACAAATGAGGCTTCACACGACATCTAAGGACATTTTCGAACTTAGTTAAGCATCCAACAAACCTGCGCTTATAAAACAAAATCCACGCAGCTTGAAACCGACTGGGGAAACAAAGTTCATTAAACCCTGTGTTTTGTCGAATTAAGTCGATTTGAGTGTGAATTAAAGAAGCACTTACGGAAATGCGGCCATTGTGGCCAACTTCACAAACACGTCCTTCCTAAAGTGGCCCTTAACACTAAAGCGTTGCGGTGGAAGGATTTTGTATTTCTGACAAAAACTGGGCGGCTGCAACAAGTACTCTTGCCGCACTTCTTCCAGGTCGTCCTTACAAGCCACTATTAGTACCGGGATTTTACTGTCGGCAAAGTATTTCTGCGGAAAATGTTTATTTTAAACAACTGGAGCTACAGCTTGATGTTGGCGCTCACAATGTAAATCCTGGCAATGTACTCGAAACTCTTCGGATGGCTGATATCGTACACCAGACAGGCTACATCGCATTGCACTTCGTGAGGCAGCAGAGGATCAGACACGTTTCTAATGTTAATGTCGCGTAGCACCATGATTTTTTCCTGCCCATACACTTGCACGGTGTTCACCGTGCAGGTCGGACTACCGGATTTATCCGACAGCACACTTTGGGCCTGAAAATAGTCATTTATTAAAATCTAGCCGATTCTTGGCTCCATTCAGTCAACTCACATCAATGGAGTTGCGGATGAAACTTTTGCAAAACGTCGATTTTCCGGAACTAGACGGCCCTATCACATGGCATTGGTAAACATTGCGGCTTGACTGTTTTTTGGCAAGGTCTAGCTGTTTTTCCCGTGTAACTGCAACGAAAACGCTCAGAATTTACACATAAATAGTCACGATTGTCAAATGATGAGCAATCATCAGGATGAGAAATCCGGAAAATTTCACTAAAATTAGATCTACCTGTAACTGCTGAGATTTGAGTGTCGTTTTCGTAAATATTGTACCCTAAATAGGCCAAATACTCAAAAGTTCTTGGCAAATCGACTAGCGTCATTAAGGCCCACTGGCACATGTAGCCCTGATATGTTATCCAGCCTGGAAGCAAACTGGTCGTTAGCGATGATTTTTTCTTGGTGATCATTGGTTATCACCTTTATCATTGGTGGGAACCATGGCGCTGACATCAACCGGCCAAGCGGGAGTGGGACAGGTGGAGAAAAGTTCCTCATATTCAGTGGGGGACAAGGCCTTGTCGCCGTCCTTGTCGTATTTCTCGAAAATGTGAGTCAGGAATTGTTGGCCGCGATAGGACAGTTCAGTGGTACATCCCGATGAAACTTTGATGCTTCGTGAACACCAAAAGATCAAAAATGGTTAAGTTTTTTGGGAAAACCCCCAAACTCACCTGGGATATAAGTAGTCTTTGGACATGTTAAGATTATCATTGTAGCCGAATTTGCGCAAAACCGTCCACGTGGTTTCGTTGCGCCCTCGCTGGATGAAAAGACTGTGCAAGTACAAGAACCCTTTCAGGGTAACGCCGTTTTGGCTCACGCCATCATCCAAATTCTTCCTCAACACCGCCTTGACATCGTCCAGCACTTGAGGCTGGAGTGGAGCGTTGAAACAGCGCGATTGGAAGTTGTTCAGTTCAATATCGTTGAGTAGACCGTCGCAATCGATGTCGCATATCTTGAATATCCTAATCAGGGCCTTTTTGCACGGTTCGGTGAGCTGCAATTAAGGCCGCTGTTATTTAGCAATCAAGCAAACTCGGTTTTGCGTACATCAGCTTTTTCAACCGAATATATCGGGGACGTGGGATGCAGCACGGCTTTTTGGGCATAGTAAAACATTTCCGAGATGTTCTTCAATGTTTTGGCTGAACATTCGATGCAGGTCTCGATTTCGGAAAACTCCTCCATTATTTCATAAATGCCCTAAAACGCAATCGCAACGGATTAAATAGACACACACGTTTACATTGAGAACGCACATCAATGGTAGAAAACTCCACCAGGTCGATTTTGTTCCCAACCAGCACCACTGGACATTGAGTATCGGGGTGGTTTTGCCTGATCAACGGCATCCAATACGAAGAAATCCTAACAAAACAAAATTGTGTGAATTCAACAAAACCAAGCATATCAGGGACACCTTTCAATCGACTCCTCATCGTCCACTCCATAGACAATGCACACAACACTAGCGCGTTTGATCTGATCGCTCAGCTCAGATTCGGTCTGATCAGCAATCGAATAATCCACTATGTTAGTGGGCACTTGCTCCGGCGTTACGTCTGCAGGTATCGTGATTTCTTCCGCCTTGGCCGGCACATTTTCCGGAAACTCCTCACTCACCAGGGAGAGAATCAGGGAGGTTTTTCCTACACCCCGATCTCCCACTAGCAGAATGCGCACCGTCCGCTTCAAATGTGGTTTGATAACCATTTTAAAACCTGAAAAGGGACAAATGTTCAGGATTTTTGCTGTCGAGCGTTCACGACGGAAAGGTGAATGCGCGAAGCGCACACATTCAGTTGAATAAATATAGGTATTTTTGCGACACTCTGTACAAATGAGTGGAATTTTTGCGGGCGCCATTCTTTTGGTGGATAAGCATTATATTTCCGAAAAAGACCAACGACTTTGCCCAACAAAAAACCAGATTTATCGGGTCTCAAAGTTTGAAAAAACCTCGCTGTTTAATCAGGCAAAAGCCTGACTGGTCGTAGAAGCATTCAGGGACACCCTGTATATTTGGTAGCAAAAAACCATTGCATAAATAAAAATTATCGAAATTAAGTTGCGTGCAGGTGGAGAAGAACGCAACAAAAACAAGTTTGTCTGGCAAAGATGGTTTTATCCCAACGGTTTTGTTGGTAGCATCTGCAACCATTTTCCGGGAAACGTTGCGATAAAAACATCTTTGTAAGACAATGAAAGCCCCAATCAGTGATTCATTGAACATTGTGCAGCAATTTTAAACAGGAAAAACTACGTAGTTTTATGCTGAAGCATGTGGATAGCATGAGATCGTCCAGAAGCGTCTGTTAAATCTTCTAGACTGTGTTGAACTGAACTGCCTCAATTGAGGATTTCTCTGGAGGTTCGCGCTTGATCAATCAAGCGGGGTTTGAGTACAGTGGGAGAAATGATGTAAGAAGAAACGTGAGAAGCAAGGAGTATTTTTAAGACGCTCAGAACAGAACGTCCACTGGTGAAAGACCATCCGAAGGAGGCACAGTATTAGAGTGTTTTCCAGCAATCCTGCGGATGTTTGGTTGTCGTTTTTCGCACAATTCGGGAAAAATCCCCATTAATAGAAATATAACCTAAATGACTGCAGCGGTGCTCTTGCACTAAATCTCCTGCAGATAGGAGTGAAGATGCAGCACCTCCTCTTTAATCTCCTAGTGGAGAGATTAGATTAGAGTTATCTTCCAGCCGTACGTGCTGAATGAAACAAGTGTAATCCTGCAACGGCAACATTCCTGAAAGGGACCCACCTGAAAAAATTCACATCCAACCAATGCGCTGGCCTCAAACCGCCCACCAAGCAACAATTGAGCGTTCAATGCTAGAAGGGCGATCAGTTTTTTGCAAAAAACTCACGGCACTAATTTTTTTCTCATTTTTTTGACACAGCTGACTTGACGCGCGCGTCACTGGTCACATGTAACCACAGAACATACCCCCGAAGGATATTTTGTGTATGTAACAAACCCCGGCTATTGGTCTGACACGTCCAGCAAACCGTTTGCCAAGTCGTGCAAAACCGACCTAGATTCACTGAAATGTGAGCGCGGGCAAAAAAAATTGCTAACATGCCGCGACGTCTCCTGCCAAGGGGCTGCCTATCAATGTGATCGCCTTATGGGCCCTCCAGGCCCTCGGGAACTCTCCCGGGCCGTATTAATTACGTGGATAAACAAATTGGCTAAAAATAGTCACTGGGTCAGAGACTTGTTTCAGTTTATTTGTGTATGTGAAGCCTGTAAATTGTACCGTATTTGCATCATTTTCCACATAAATAATCGTGCAATTTGAACACCCAGTAGGCCATTTTCAAGAAGAAATCCCCACTGGGTTCCGCCAGATGACACTTTTTTGCTCGCATTGATGTAACACTTCACGCAAAAACGCACACAAAAAGCGCAAATTTATATTTCATTTATAACGTAAAATTTGTTTAAAATTTAGATAACTTTTGGGGAAAAATCCTCGGGCAGGTCAACTGATATTTCCTATACAGGGTGTCCAATTGACAAAACTGCCAACATTTTCTTATCCATGGTTCACTTTCTAAAAAGGCCATTTATTTCTGTCTATAATGATGTAAAAACGAGCGTTCTTGCTCATTTTGCTTCCGAG